GTTGAAGATCTGTTCTCTGCTCTGAAAGGCTTTTTATCCCCCATCCAAGATGCACTTGGCAGCTGGCTGAGAAGAGAAATGCTTTCTGTGCATACTCTACACAGGCTGTCCCACATCTATGTTCACTTTACTTGTTCCAGGGCTGAGCTAGTAGCAGTTTCTCTCAGTTGGACCTACCTCACACTGCTGTTGGGAGAATAAACTAAGGGAGGGGAAAACCACATCTGCCACCCTGAGCTCTTTAGAAGGAGTATAGGCTAAAAAGTCACAACAGATATGATTTCAGCCTCAGCCATTGTACCAGCAGTAATTAAATGTCATATTACCCCCGGTCAGGTAGAATTCCTCTGCGAGCACATGCAAGTCCAGCCATACTTTAAATTACTGTTCACCTCCTTTCTAGTGTAAGCGTTAGCAAATATAAGGGTTGGGCTCACCTTCTGGTGTTCAGATTGCCTATTCCCTGGTCACCCTCCTTCTCCCGTCTGCCATGCTTGAGGAAAAGGCAGTGCTAACAGTGTTTGATTGCAGTATTTCTCAACTTGATGGCTGGCCAGTGGTCTCGAAACAGCAGATGCCAGGAAAGTATAACCCACAATGGAAATCTGGCCCTGCCAAATTTGCTCCGCCTAAAGGAGAACCTCAGCAAGGTGTGTTCTGCGTTTCTTTACTTCACCTTGAGGGCAGCCCCCTGACAGCCATACAACCTTTTCTCATATGCACCAATCCTTGGACCTTTTAAGAGGCAACTCCCTCAGCCACGCCTCTCTTCCCCAGCCTGTTGTGGGTCCAAGCCTACCGAAAATCACTCCTCACATGTATGTGCTCTTATTGTTAAAATGAACTTTGCAAAACAAACTTCCACACCCACATGTGGCTATACAAAACATTGTCCACTTTATTGGTGTTGCTCATGAAAGCTTGTATTTAGGGGTGCCAACTCTGGCTTGGCAAATTTCTGGAGATTTGGAGTTGATGCCTGGAGAGGGTGGAGTCTGAGGAGGGAAGGAATTCAGCAGAGATGTAATGCCATAGAGTCCGCCCTCTGAAGCTGCCATTTCCTCCAGAGGAACTGATCTCTGTAGTTTATAGATAGGTTGTAATTTTGTGAGAACTCCAGGCCTCATCTGAAGGTTGGCAACCCTGAGTTGCAATGGGTTTTGTTTGCATTTAAGGTGATATAGGTTTCTTGGTGAACCCTATAACTCATTAGCCAGCCAGTGAGCTGATTAATAGTGATTCAGATACTTATTTACTCATTTTGAGACAAAAGGGAAAATCCCATGGCCGATTTGAGGTTGCGCGTGTTTGGCTCCATATCTGGGCCAGCCCTCAAGCTTCCTCAGGGACTCCCAATGAGAAGCACAGAAAAAGAAAAGGACTGTATTTGTCTTGGAAGCCCTGTGCAATGTCTTTTTGCCTTTCTGTGGGTACTGAGCTGCTGATATCTACTAGGAATGCCAGGCTCCAGGTGGGACCTGGGGATCTCCCAGAATTACAGCTCATCTCCAGATGACAGAGATCAGTTCCCCTGGAGAAAATGAATGCTTTGGAGGGTGGACTCTACAGCATTGTACCCCACTGAGGTCCCTGTCCTCCCCAGGCTCCCCCCCGAAATCTCTAGGGGCCTCCCAACCTGAATCTGGCAACCCTACCCTCCACTAGTGGCCGGGGAGGGGGGGGGAACCTGGGGAACCTACTATCAGGCAACTACATGCCCCTACTGTGTCCCAGAAGGCAACTGAGTACTTAAGGTGACCGATGCAGCCTACTATAGTCTGAAACAGCCAATAAAAAAAGGTATCAGGCAACTAAAACAAGTACATAGAGAGATGAGCCATAATTGGAGACCCGGTTAAAAATGGAAATTCCCAGAACTGTATACTGTAGATTTTAAACACAAATGCCACGCTGCATACAGTAGATTTTAAGTATAAATACTACACAGCAGCTCCTTACCCTATACTTTTTAAACACACACACATAAAACACATAAATGCCAGAAAACTGCCCTTTTTACACTGTGTAACCCCTGAAGAAACAATAGAGTCCACCCGCCTCTTTAAGTCTCGCGATGCTCCCTCCAGTTCTAGCCACAAGGCTTCAAGCACCGCCCCCGAGCGCTTGGTTTGCTCCTTCTCAGTTCGCGCCGCCCACTAGCTTTAGTCCGTGAGGGCCAATCACTGACTCGTGTGACGCTCACCCGTTCCCCTACGCGGCTTCATGTACTCTGTACACATGCGCAATCTCTGCCGGTACTTCTCTAAACGCTTTTAAGTATCGTCACACATGTGCGACTTCTACTTTGGGGAATAGCCAATACACGTTGGGGAACCGGCGCCTGCGCAACATGGTTTCTGAACCCTTGCAGGCTCTTTCGGTATTTGACGCGTGCCTCTGGAGCATTTCGGGTCTTCCTAAAGGAGTGGTGGGCTTACAATGGCGGAGCGTAGGAGAGGCGGCGGTGGTGGTGGAGGACGAGGCGGTCTCGGGCTTTACGAGGCGGCAGCCTCAGTTTTGGCAGGACTGGAAAAGGGGGAAGGATCCCTGAAGAACCTCGTGTACGGAAGTAGTTTCCAGGCAAGTCTAAATATCTTTGCAAAAATGAGGGTGTGTAATTGAAAAGCTTTAGAAACGAAAAAAGGTCCTTTATTGGCATCTTCAAAATTAGCGAGTGGAAGGCGCTGTCGTACAAGCACGTTTCCTTGGGTGTAATGCCAGCTGAGCTCAGCCGTGGACTCTTCTGAGTAGATCTGCTCGGGCTTGTGCTACAGGATCGCGCTATTATAGACACTATACTAATAGTAATGGAGCAAATACTCCCACACCCCATGAGACCTGTTTCTACATAGACAAATAGTGGATTGGGTAGTTGCGAAGCATTCATCTTCCAGAGGGCCTGTTTTGTTCTTTTCCCTCCCCACCAACAATTCTGCAGTGTAGATTGGATGAGTACATTATGGTGGGCGCAAGGCCACCCACTGAAGTCTGTGGTCCCACTCTGCCCAATCTCTAGTCTTGACACCCTAGCCTGTACATTGCACTGCCACTGAACATATATATTTGTTTGAAGGGCCAGATGAATGACAATCACATAAGTAAATAAGATATTTTTTCCCTTGTAGGAAGTCTATATTTCAAACAATGTAAGAGGCCCCCAGAGGTGTTGTTATAGAGAGCAATAATAGAGTAATACGAACGTACACCTAAAGAACAACAACAGTTTTTGAAGATGCCCAGCCAGCTACTCCCATCCTCTGTTAAGCCCAAGTTCAGTAGGTAGGCCTCAGCTGGGTCAGTGTTACCTGTGTCATGTACATCTGGTCAGACCTTTTCTCTCAGAAAAAGTCTGAGCAGATTGAAATGTAGAAAATGTTATTTCTGGTTAGGCCCCCAATAACTCAGTTTCATTTCTGATCTACAGTGTTCAGTACTGATTGAGGAAGTGCTAGCGAGCTTGGCCCAGGTTTGGTAATGGATTGCTACAGTTTGGAAGTGATTTGGGTAGGGCTAACAGTCCCTTGTTGAGGCACTACCCAGTCAATGTTAGTCTTCATCTTTTTCAGAGCCCTCGGCCGCTGTATGCTCTCGTTTCAGAGACTCTGCGCTATTCTGATGTGCTGGACTCTATCTTGGGCGCTGCTGGTTTGCTCCGCATGGAAAAAAAGCTGCAACCACACCTGGCCAAGGTGAATACGAATCTCCCTTTCGTCCCTCCCTATTTGTAACAACTTAGTAGATTCTCTGGCGCCTTTTACTTTCCATACCTATCAAAATGAACTTGTTCCTTATGTATCACTGCAACTTCTTTGGCCTGCTGATGTGATGTTAATCACTTGGTCACTCTCCCTTGGCCAACAAGAAACCACATCAGAACACTCTTGGTGCTGCTCACCGTTCCGGGCTGTTTCTCCTGATATCTGCCCAGAACACTGTACTTCCATGAATTAAAGTAGATAAGGATATGTCAGTCTGCTGCTTTACCTGCTTTTTTACTTCTTCCTGGCCACTGTCTGGAGCCAGTGAGGCTTTGGGAACAGAGAATCCCAAAAATCTAATAAAATAAAATGGCTATAACAGAACATAGCCCAGATGTGGTTTCTCTAGTGTTCGTGCAATCGTATCTCTCCTTTTAGCCCACCACTGATGTCTCCTTTAATTGCTTCCATGCTTGCTCATGAGGCCTTCTCTTCTGCAGGTGCTGGCATACGACTTACTCTTGGGCAAGGGGCTGCGCGGCGGAGGGCGTGGGAAGGTCCTGGTGTTGAAGCACCGAGCGCGGCTACAGGCCGAGCTTGCTCGCTTGAAAGTCCAGAAGAAGGTGAGCCGCAACGAAGACCTGCTGCCACCTGCAGGAGGAGCTGAACAAGGTGTGTGTGCAGGGAGGCTTGTGGTATATTTAACGGTGGCCTTCTAGGCTTACCAAGTGGCGGTGGGGGATCCGCATGTCTTCACAGGATCCCTGCCACGGGGACGGTGATACATGTTGCGCCGCCGTTGCCAGGATGTGATGCAAAGCGTCGGTCTGGCAACAGGGCTGTTTGGAGTCCCGTTGCCAGAGCGATGCGTAGCGTCACATCCTGGCAATGGCGGGTGCAACGCGTGTCGCCGTCCCCACGGCAGGGATCCTGTGAAGACATGCGGATCCCCCGCCGCCACTTGGTAAGCCTATGGCCTTCTGAAGACTACAATTTAACAACTGTAAATCAAAACCTGGCTGCTAATTAAAGGATTATTCTCAGGTCTCTGTAATGATAAAATTTTCAGGCTGCAGTTACCTTAGGGGGGAGGGGCCTTGGCTTAGTGGTAGAGCATCTGCTTGGCATGCAGGAGGTTCCCAGGTTGAATACCCAGTATATCTCCAGTTGAAAGGAACAGGGAGCAGGTGATGTGAAAGACCTCTGAGACCCTGGCAAGCTGCTGCCAGTCTGAGTAGACAATATTGACTTTGATGGACCAGGGGTCTGATTCAGTATAAGGCAGCTTTATGTGTACCTTCCAGGGAAATGTGATCCAGAAAAGGGAAGTGTCAAGAAGCAGCCAAACAGTCGGGATGAGATGCATGTATGGATTACTCAAGAAGCGGCACTCAGCCTGTCAAGACGGGATACGAGGAAAAAAGCTTAACATCCCAATTCTTGCCTTTCCAGCTCCTCAGGTGCCACGCTATGTCCGGGTGAACACACTGAAAACACACCTGGATGACGTTGTGGATTATTTCAAACGGCAGCAGTACGTTTACCAGGGCAAGGCTGGCAGGTTAGTTTGGCCACTCCTGGCTCCTGCTCACTCCTAGGGAGGTGGATGCTTGCTCTGCGACGATGCCAGGGCCTTTCCTGCTAGTGCCACTCCATTCCCAGCGTACTACCTCCTGGCCTTACGAGTGGTTTCTAGTAAACAGTTGCCTCTGAAAAGTCCTTTTTTAAAAAGAGCATTTTCAGTTGTGGGGTAGACTCTCCAGCACTGGGAAGGTTTTTCTGGCCAGCTTGCTCTGAAACCAGGGCATGCAAAGGTTTCTGGGCTTGAGGACCAAGCAAACCACCCTGCCTGTCTCCCCTCTTCTTTAGCATGGAGGAAGTGAGCTCCTTGTCTGGAAAGAAGTTCTATCTGGACCCCCACCTTCCTGAGCTGCTGATCTTTCCCCCACAAATGGACTTCCATGACAATCAGCTGTACGTGGCAGGGCATATTATCCTGCAAGACAAGGTGAGCCTGGCTGGGGCAGAGGTAGTGCAAAGCCTGTGATGCGGTAGGGCTCTCAGAGTGACGAGGATGTGTGGAGCACATTTCATGAATTTCTTCCTAACCAGTCAGCTGCTGCCTGGTTTAACCTTTTGCCACCTTCCAATTGCAGTCGCTTCAGGCCAGGGTTTGTTTTCGGCTGAGCACTGGCAGAATCCTTTCTGTGGTGTCCTGATGCTTCATATCGGCCTGAGCAGCTTGGTGTGGACACAGGTGGGACTCGGGAGCAGTCTCTGTGTTGCTCCAACTACTAGTCTTTTCCCATGTGGAATAATCTGCATTCAAAGGCTGGGCTTGCCCTGAGAATGCAGCATGACTATTGTATACTCAAGGCATTACAGGAAGCAGTGTCTGTAACAGTTCTGGCACTCTTGTCCATCTTAGTAACATATGCTAGTTTTTGGAAGAAATGTTGTGTCCTTTAACTTAAAGCAATATAGTTCAGATTCTAGAAGAGATTCTGGGGTTGTTCCCCCAGCACAGGGACATTTCTAAGAACTGGGATTTCTCACCTGGTGGTAACATCTCCCAGTCAAGAATTTAAGCTTGCCCCTTGCCAATTTAAACCCCTTGTCTGCAGAAGTCAGACCACCAGCTGTGGAGTGCTATGAGAGACTTTGCAGAGGGTGATGCTGAGTTGGAATACCCCAGCTATGTCAAAGGCTTCTTCACACCCTGCTACTGATGGTCTGGTTGAAAGAGGTGGTCCAGAAGGTTCAGATCTCCTGAGTGACCCTGTCTCCCTTTCCCAGGCTAGTTGTCTCCCTGCTTTTCTTCTCAACCCACTGCTGGGGTCCCATGTGATCGATGCCTGCGCTGCACCTGGTAACAAGACCAGCCATCTGGCTGCTGTCATGAAGAACAAGGGGTAAGAGTATGAACAGGGGGTCCCAAGAATGAGAGGGGAACAGGCCCTGCTAGGACAGTGGCTTCTGTGTAGCCTGGCGAGCGGAGAGACTCTGGGAATTTAAGGAGTATTCTGCCACTATTCAAGGTTTCTGAGGTTCCGTGCCAAATCAAGGGAAGAAACAACTGCTACTGTAGGCTGAAGCATAGATTCCCCGCCCCCCCCCCCCTTTCCTGTGCTCTGGCTTGTTTTCCAGCAGCTGTAGTCCGCTGCCAAGGAGGTCAGCATGCAGAGATGTTTAAGTGCAGTTCTGTCCTTTGGGGCACTCAGGAAAGCACTTCTTTGCTCTGCTGACCCCTGGAGAGATGCTGTGCCTTTCCATCAAATGCTTCACATCCTGGTACTAACATTCTGGTTGAAAGAGGGAGTCCAGAATGGTGGTCCCGAGAGCCAGTTCGGTGTAGTGGCTAGGAGCGTGGACTCTAATATGGGGGAGCTGGGTTTGATTCCCCACTCCTCCACATGCAGCTCCTGGTGTGACCCTGGGTCAGTCATAAGTTCTTTCAGAGCTGTTCTCCTAAGGGCAGTTCTCTCAGAGCTCTCTCAGCCCCACCTACGTCACAGGGTGCCTGTTGCAGGGAGGGGAAAGGAAAGGAGATTGAAAGCCACCCTGAGGCTCCTTCGGGTAGTGAAGGGCGGCGGTATAAATCCAATCTCTTCTCTCCTCTTCTTGTGGCAGCAGTGTCTACTGCTGTCAGCATTCGTACCCATTGACTTTGTCTTTGAAATGCAGCCGAATCTTCGCCCTCGACCGAGATGCCAAGCGCCTGGCCACCATGAGCACGATGTTGATGCGGGCTGGGGCCACCTGCTACCAGCTGGCACACCAAGACTTCTTGACCACAGACCCCGCTGACCCCAAGTACAGCCAAGTGAGATACATCCTTCTGGACCCTTCGTGCAGTGGCTCAGGTGAATGGGGGAGATGGGCCAAGGGAGGGAGCTTCCTATCATGGGGTCCTCCAACCTTTATACTGGCAGCATTGTAAGCAAACTGGAGAAAACAAGATCACAGGAACAAGAAAGAAAATATTGTCTCTTAGTCAGTCTTGGGGTGAATGAGTGGGGTTACAAGCACAGCTGCAGTATTGCTTTTTCTCTTTTAACAGTTCCTGTTTGCTCTAGCATGGGGAAAGCCCCTTTTCTAGGTAAAGCTGAATACTATTTCATAGAATCATAGAATGTTAGAGTTGGAAGGGACCTTGCAGGTCATCTAGTCCAACCCCCTGCACTCTGCAGGAGCATAGCCGAAAGATAGCCCCACAACATACCCGAAAGATGGTCATCCAGCCTCCGCTTGAAAACGTCCAGCGAAGGAGCGTCCACCACCTCCCGAGGCAGTCTTTATGGCCCGTCTTTTTCCCCAAGGAGGGGCTCAAAGTTGCTTACATCACTGTCCTCTCCGTTTTAACCTCACGACAACAAGGTGGATTAGGCTGAGTGTGTGTGACTGGCCCAAGGTCACTCAGCAACCTTCCATGGCATGAGCAGGGATTTGAACTGGGGTTTTCCACAAACTTGTCTGACACTCCTAACCACTACACCATAGTGAATTTCAAGAGGAAATTACTGAAAACAGAAACACTAGTAATTGTCAGTCTCTCTGGTTTCACGAACACAAGGGAAGTCTTCAGTTATTTTGTCAACTCTTAGTAAAGACTCTTCAACCTTCAAATCCAGGTAGTCCATGAAAACTTCAACTGCAGTAAACTCTTATTTAAGGTGGTCACTAGGTTCATGTTTGTCTTTGCAATGATAGCTTTGTTCGTCGATCCAGGATCACAATAGTAACCCGCTATCGGCTGCAGGCAGACTGTAGATCGAAGGATGCCTAGTTAGGGGCTGTCTAGGGTGGTACAAACTGGCAGCTATTCCTGTGGGAGTGAATTGGTGGTATCCCAAGGAACTGAAACAAAGCAGTATGGTTGCCAGCAACTGGGTGCCACCAGGGTTGGGGGTACTGAGTCTCACACCCTGCTCCATGAGCGCTCTTTTCTGTCCTTAGGAATGGCCAGCCAGTTGCCAGTGGAGAACACCTTGCTTCCAGAGAGGTTGCAAGCACTGGCTGGATTTCAGAAAAAAATGCTGGCTCACGCCTTGAGTTTTCCTGCTCTCCAGCGTCTGGTTTATTCCACATGCTCAGTGTACCAGGAGGAGAATGAAGACGTGGTGTGGGATGTGCTGCAGCAGCGGGAAAAAGAGTTCAGGTACTGGGTTGGTAGGAGGGTGTACTTTGAGCTAAACATGGGGCAAGCCTCCCACAGATGGAGGACAGGGAAGGTGTTTGCTACCCCCTTGTCCAGTCCAAAGCTGAACAGCATTCTTGGGCCTCAACCAGTATCTGAGGTGCCTCTTCAGGATGGCTTTATTCAGCATCTTCAACCTACTTAGGAACGTCACTAACTGTCAACCACTAAATTGGAGAAATGTACATGTTTGGCTTTCAGCTGAAGGCTGCAAGACTCCAGGCACCTGTCTGAAGAAGCAAGAAGTGATCTGCCACTCAAGCCAGGCTTGCTCTTCTGTTTCTCTTACAGGCTGGTGCAGGCCCTGCCCTCCTGGTCCCATCGGGGTTCAGGCACCTTTGCTGAGGCCAAATTCTGCCTCCGTGCATCCCCAAAGGAAACTCTGACAAATGGGTTCTTTGTTGCAGTATTGGAAAGGTGGCATGGAGGAGCCTCTGAAAAAAGGTGAGGTTGAAAAACTTGTGCTTGACACCAATGCTTCCTCTAAGCTGTGGAGTCCTGTGAGCAAAAAATCTACTTTGTGAGCTACTGGCATTAAAGTTGTGAGCGAGCGATTTGGCTACTGCATAAATTAGTTTGCTCTGGAGCCATCCTTCCTGAGCTAAGACAAAAATGTGTGAGCCGGAGGCTAAAAAAACTGAGCTAGCTCACATTAACTCAGCTTAGAGGGAACACTGCTTGACACTAAAGTGGGTCACAAAAGTGTCCCCTTTAGCATCGTTATTCAGGTATTAAGTTTCAAATAGAAAATGCAGAAAAAGACATTGTTTTAGAATTTCATGAGGTGGAGAAGCACAAATTTACTAGTGGGATTATAAATCATAGGCTATGGTCTAAGCAAATATCAGTGCATTTAAATGAGCAATCAAATTCTTCTTCAAGCGTTAAAGAGGAGACAACTGTTCTGTCTTGTCTATCTGCAGGAAGGTGCAAAAACTTCATTTTAGTTAAGTCCAGCATGTCAGGTGAGGTACATCTGTTTCAGCTCTTCTGGTTATTTCTTTTCTAGTTCCACAGCTGTACTCCCCAAGGCTGAAAACACTGCAGAAGACTCTTGCCCTGTTCCCAAAGGGAGGATGAAACAGGCAAGAGGTGCCTTGTGAGCTTGTTTCTGGAGCCAGATGAGACCAAGACTGCCTGTATGAACTCCAGCATGGTGGGCTGAGACAGTGAAGAGAGCTTGTAGCTGTAATAAAAGAAGGAAAATTGACAGCCTAGATTTTTCCCCCAGGGTCAGTGCTTCTTCTCCATTCCTTCTCCCATGCTATATTTGGGTGCATATTTAAAGACTAACAAAATAGGCTCTCCTAGAAGTCCAGTAGTTCAGCGGAGCTCAGGAAACATTCTGCCCTGGCTGCATCCAGTGTGATGGTGTAGCAGATGTGCAAAAACAAAAGGGAAAACCAGAAGGATTCACTAGGTCCTAAGGGGCCACATTACTGCTGCTTGGTAAACACCCATAGGCTTCAGTGTGGCACTGGAAGGTGATGAGTCACTATCTCCTTGTATGACCAGGAGTATCCTAGGTCCCCACCTATTGAAGCAGGCCTGCCTTAATCACTGAACTCAACTACTGAACTACTGGGTGATCCACAATACCATCCATGAAGTCTGTGTTCCTTTCTTAGGATCAGAACCTCTAGAAATTGCAGGGTGCCATAAAACAAGATGTACATTAACCACAGTGTGGATTGCCTATCTCGTTAGCTGCAGTCACAGGAGGACTGAAGCCTTGAAATTCTCTTTTAAAAGCATGCACTATGCACAAAAATGGATATTATTAGTATTTTTAGAACCCCATCTTGAATTTCATAGTTAATTAATTTTGGAGCACTGTAAAGTAAATTTTAGTGTACTGTAGTTATTGTATTTTATATTATTCTGTACTGTTTTAACTTGGCATTCGTGCCCCTTGTGAGCTGCCCTGAGCCTTCAGGGAGGGCGGGATATAAATTTAAAGATAAAGAAATAAATATCCTCAAGATGGGTAGTCGTGTTAGTCTGTAGCAGTAGAAAAGAACAAGAGTCCAGTTGCACCTTAAAGACTAACAAAATATGTGGCAGGGGATGAGCTTTTGTGAGTCACTGATCATTTCTTCAGCTACCCGTTGCTCTCTCTGTGAGAAGAAAAAGGGGAGAGTCACAGAATGTAGCCTGAACTTCCTTCCTATGGCCAATTGTTGTGCTAGAAACCCCATTCAATTTCAGACCACAAAGGCCTGCAAGTAGTGTAAGAGGCTACCTTGCTTTTGAGATTTACTGTATTACCCCGACCCCTAAAAAAAGAGCTAAATGCTTTGCATTCAAGGACTCCTAGCCCCATTTTGAAGACACACAGAGCAAGGAAGGCATCTTATGGCTAGGGGCTGCTCAGCTTCGTTAGTCTCGACCACACAGTCACACTAAAACCCTCAACAGGAATGATCCAAGTATTCATTGCAACATGTTTAAAAAAAGGTCAGACCCATTCTTCCCATATTCACATACTGCACCCCATTCACACAGCATCTCCCAGCAACAGGGTGCTCCGCAAAAGCCCTTCCACAACCAGAGGACACAGCCTTGAGAAAGGGCTGCCTGCTTCCCTGGGCAGGTTGGATAAGTAACTGCTAGTCACTCCCCCATGTCAGGAGTGAGAATTTAAACTCCTCTCAGATTTGAAGAGACAAAGTCACATTAACCCCACAATGACAGAAGCAGTAGTTACATGTGTGCCCCCCCCCCAAACACATAATGTATATGCATACATTATGGGCTGGGCTAGCCCTAGGTTAAAAAAAACAACCTTGGCCATGGAAACAGGACCCTTGAAGACAGCAGTATTCCCACGGTAAGACACTGGCTTTGGTATCCTAAACGCTGACGTTCTCTGTGCTGTTGTCACCTCAAACAGGGCTGGCACCTTTGCAAGCCACACATTCCTTACGATGCATCCAGCAGCCTGTCAGATCTCTCCCCTCAGTACTCAAGAGATGCTTGTTGGGCCAGACAGAACACCCCCCCACGACACCATCTAAACGTGCAAGAGCTCTCAAAGCATTAAACAAAAACTTAGCCACGTCCACATTCTAAACACAAAAACATACAAAACACTGGCCTGTGCGAGGAGGAGGCAGCAGCAGGCAAAAGGGAAAGCCTGGATGCTCCCCAAAATCATCAGGTGAGGAGAGATGCCTGGGCTATGACCGCTACTACCACCACCACCCCACAACCGCACAGGCCAATTCCTAACAAACGGCTTTATACTTTCACACCTCTATGAACCAAGCTTGAAGGAATTCAAAGGCAATTTAGCTTAAATATAAAAATAAAGTTTTATTTTGTTAAAAAATGTTTAAATATTTTTTTTAATTTAGAGTTAGGCAGGCGCACGCACACATTCACACTGTTGTCTCCAATGTTATTAAAAAGACTGGCAGCTGGCTTTGCACTTCCAAGACCGGGGGAGGAGGCAGCAGGGACTGGGGTTCTTATACCAATCTCCTTCCCTGGGAGAGAGGAATTCTATTTGTTGAGTCCCTCTTATACAATGCCTGCAAATGCAAGAGGAAATCCACTGGGAAGAGAGAGTGATGGGTGCGTATTTTGGCTTATGTCAAGAATTAGATAAATTCTTTTGCAGTGATTTCTCTTCCACCGGGGTGCTGGGAGAAGCCCTTCCACAAGAGAACATGCGTCCCTCTCAGTGTATGAGAGAGTGAGTCATCCAACCTCCAAGCAGGGCCCCAGAATCATTGAATGGTTGGGGGAAAAAAACCCCACCCCCCCCGCTGCCAGCTTTCCAATCAGCACTTCACGATCAGGTTCATTCAACTCTTGTAGCCACACAGTGACGCTACTGTCCACACCCAATTAGGCGGGGTTCGTCTCCGCTGGAGACAGGCAACCCCCAAAAATGTTTACAGCAAGTCCGGCATTATCAACATGCCGCCATACATACAATTAAATTCTTCCTCCAAACTCGATTCACAGAGCAAATAAAAAAGAAAAAAAAAGAATTAGAGCACAAACATACAGTGAACAAACACAGAGAATTTGGGAAAAGGAGAAAAAAAGAACAGGGTACTTCAGTAGAGCAGCAGTGCCTCCCTTGCCACTGGCTCATGCAAGCAGCACAGAGGATGGGGGGTTTCCCCTCCGTGCCTCCTCGCTCCGGAAGATCCATCTTTTCAGTTCACTGGGACCTCTGACCAGTCCTGCAGCCACTGTTTACTGTGATTAGTGTTTCAACCGAGAGCCCCTGTGAAACCACAAAACCTTGACAGGATGAGCCTTCCCCCTCCTTGCTTAGATTGTGGGAGAACAGATGATCCACAAACTGGAGAGGGGTTCATCTTGGAGATGAGTTGAGACTGAAGATGCATGATGGCATCCTAGGGAAGGGCTTCTAAGCGCTGGCCTGTGCCAGGATCAGGGGACACCATATATGAAGTTTTAAAATATGGAGGGGGAAGGGGGATAAGGAATGGGGGGGGGGACAGAGAGGGGATGACAGAAATGGAGTTGGTTGCAACTGGGAACATGCCAATAGCCAAGCACCTCCCCACTTAACACATCACCTTCACTTGGCAGCCCAACTTGGGTGTCGGGCTGAGGTCGGAGGAGGCAAGGATTTGGGGAAGACCAACCCATGGGAGACTGTCCGCATGGGGGAGGGAAGGTAGCAGATACGTACAAAATTCCATCCAGACTCAGCCATGGATTGTTCAAGTAAAAAGGGCTTGGTTTCCCCTGTCCCGCTTGAGGGGGAGGAGGGAAAAAAACAACTGCTGCAATCCAAAGTAATTTCCTGTGGATTTCACAGAATGAGACTGTTGGGCCAGCCTCACGAACAACAGAGGCCAGAACACACCTCCCTTGATTCGTATGCCTGGCCCGGGCCTCTGAACGGGTAAAGCCAGAAGCTGAAGTCCAAGCGAGAATCTCCTGGCTACTTTTTACGGGGATGCTGCCGTCGGGCCTGCAAGCGCTGCCGGCTCAATGTTTTGGATCCTGCCCCAATGGAGAATGCAGGTGCTGATGGCCCTGGAAGAAGGGGAGAGAAGCAAAGCCTTCTTCAGCCTTTTCCCAAGGCAGAAGACATCCTCCCCCCAAGCAGTTTACATGCAGCAGCCACAAAATCCTTTCGCTTCTCTTTAGCCCCACAAGGCACAAGCACAACACAAACTTAAGAGAACAGCTAAACAAGTTTTTTTTTTTAACCTCTACCCTTTCCCTTTCAAGTTTGAGGGACAGGGAAACAGGTGAAAAGCTTTCCGATGCTCAACACCCCAGATCCTTACCAAATGTAGGCCCTGCTCCTCCAAAGGCTGGGGTAATGGGGGTTCCAAAAGAAAGGTTACTTCCCCCAGTAGTTCCTCGCGGCGCAGGTGAGCTCTGCCCAAAAGCAGGGGTAGGAGTACCTAGAACACAAAACAACAGTTAGGTTAGAGAAGCACTGGAAAAAAATTATCAGAAGGTAAACAGTCAAGGATCCTGAGACCTGTTTTTTATCATAGTAAATGGGAACATGTCAGCAATCAGATCCTTTGCTCTCTCTCCTTTCTTCATTTGGGAGTGAGGACACCAGTTCCTCCGTGATCTAACCCCTTTCCCCCTCTTTCATGGCATCTCTTCCCAAAGTAAGCAAGACAAAACCACCATCTGACATCCCAGAAATGACCCTGCCTCTCCAAACTCAAATTCTGCCTGTCCTGTGCCAAAGCAGAAGAGAAGAGAGAGAAGAGATTGGATTTATACCCTGCCCTTCACAACCCAAAGGTGTCTCAGAGCGGATTACAAACTCCTTTCCCTTCCCCTCCCCACAACAGACACCCTGTGAGGTGGGTGGGGCTGAGAGAGCTCTTCACAGAGACTGCTCTTTTTCAAGAGCAGCCCTTATCAGAACTACGGCTTGCCCAAGGTCATCCAGCCAGGTGCAAGTGGAGGAGTAGGGAATCAAACCCGGTTCTCCTAGATTAGAGTCCACGCACTTAACCACTACACCAAACTGGCTCTGAAAGCAAAGCACTGAATATAGTCCGCAGTGCAGGAAAAGTGAAATCCCAAGTTATGAAAGCAGAAATTCACACCAAGTAGCACGTGCATCTCTGTATGCTCATTCCTGAAATTTTACAATGTGGGTCTTCTGGACGCAGGATCATTATCAATAAAGGCTCACTTCCACACTGAAGATGAGACTGCACGCATCCTTAATTAAACAACTACAACAAAAACAGCACTCAGCTGCATGAGGCCCCCTACTTCCCCCCCCCCCCTCCATGCCAAAGAGATCTGGCTGTCAAACGGTTCAAAAGAAGCCTCACCTCCAAATGCTGGCTTGCTCTCCGGAGTGCCGGGGATACTGAAAGCAAAGGGTGTACTCTGGTTCTGGGCACCCAGAGGGTTTTGTGCCAAGGAAGAGGCAAAGGGTGTAGCTGTGCCCACAGTTCCACTCTGTCCTCCGAAGCTGAAGCCCACCATGGGGGTGCTGGAGCCTGCAGCAGCCGGAGTACCAATGCCAAAGGTACTGCCTCCTGCCGCTGGTGCAGCAGATGCCCCAAACGTGAATGGAGATGGGGTGGAGCTACCAAACACTGAGCCCCCTGTGCTGCTGTTTGTAGTCTGGGTGTTGGATCCAAAACCTGACACGGCTGATGCGGTGGCCGTCCCGAAGGAGAAGACGGATGTCGTAGCTCCGAATGCCGGCTGGGTGGTACTTTTGGTGCCAAAGGATGCTAGAGGCCCAGTCCCACCAAAGGTCGTCTGCGTGGTGCTGCCAAATGCTGGCTGTGCGGCCGGTTGAGCGACTGAGCCAGAGAAGCTGAAAGGGGTTCCAAAGCTCACTGGGCCAGCTGCTGGCTTGGTGGTGAGCTGCTGCCCATCGGGGACGCTAGGCTCAAAAGTGAGCTGGCTGGCATCCCCCGTGTATGGAGGAGGTGGTTTTGAAGGGGTGGCGAAGGCTCCGCTGAAAGCAGAGGGACCAGAACCAAATGTCAGTGTAGGCTGCGTTGAAGGTGGTGCAGCAGAAGGGGCCTGAGTGGTGGCGGTACTGCTGCCCCCGCTGCCGAAGATACTGAAGCCGACGGCAGCCGTGGTGGTGCTGCTAGGAACAGACTCTGCCGTGCTGGCGGATGCCTGGCTGAAGGCAGAGCTTGTCAAGGCATTGCTGGGGCCAGCAGTAGTAGCAGGCTTCCCAAACTGGAAAAGTGGTGCTGTAGCTGCAGTGGAGGCCGCAGTGCCACTGGAGGAGACCCCAAACAGGAAGGGCTGGGATGATGCAGTGGTGACAGCTGTTGTGGTGCTTGGTGCAGAGGTGGAGGTTGGCATACCAAGGTTGAAGCTGAACACCGGTGTGCTTGTGGAGACAGTTGACACGTTCATGGTGGTCGAGGGGGACATCGCTGTAGTCATGATAGACTCAGAGAGGACAGGAAACCCAGACGATGTGCTCGAGACAGTGGTGGGCAGAGCAGGGCCTGGGGCTGGCTGGGGGCTGTTCTTGAATGCAAAGAAAGATGCTGTGGTGGCAGGTGGAGCAGCGGTTGCAAGTGGTGGCATGCTCCCAAAGATGGGCTTGAACGTGCTGCTGCTGCTGGGAGTAACAGAAGGAGGTGCAGAGGAGGGCACAGTCCCAGGGGATGTTGCAACAGCCGAAGAGGTGCTGCCTGCAGAGAAACCAGGGCTCTCCATTTTTGTAACATTGCCAAAGATAGGTTTGAATACAGGCGCTGTGTTGGAAACAGAAGACACTGCTGCTGCTGTTGCAGTTGGCTGGCTGGCAGGAGGACTGGTGAGAATTCCAAAGAGGATGCTCGGTTTTGGGGCAGAGGAGGGCCTTGATGGGGTTTGGCCCAATTCGGAGGAAGTTGTTACCAAGCTACTTAGACTGCTGGCAGGCTGGACAACAGTGGAAGGAGGAGGAGCCAAGGAAGGAGGTACACTTAGTGTGAGTGAGGGCTTGGCCTCAGCTGAGGTCACAGATGCAGGGGAGCCCAAATCCAGAGAAATTGCAGGTGCTGTCGTTTCAGGAGTCTGTGTGGCAGAAGCTGAATCTGAAAGAAACAGGAAAAGCTTATAGATCTAGTGTCTGCATGAAGAATGACAGTGTTCAGGACCTCCATGAAGGTACATAGCATCCGACCCCATGGAAAAGCACTCAAATCCTTTTCTTTTTGATTAGTGAGTCTGGAATGCAGATCACAATCACTAGTGCAGGTCAAAGGGGGACAAGAGTCACCCTGGCAGAAGTAAGGCTAAAGGTGCAATTTACCTGTTGGCATGTCCAAATCCGTATGTATGATAGAAGCAGAATATTCAGTGACTTATCATCAAGCATGACTGGGGAGAATGTGTGTTAACAATATGCCCACCTATGATGTTTGGCAGAAACCTCTGAATTCTGTACTAGGCTCTAGCATGACGTAAACGAGTTTATCCCTTAATCCCTGCAAACTGGTCTATTGCAGCTGACTCTTCTTGACCTTTATGCTGTGGGTTCTCTTTAATAGGTTTGGTATTGCTTAATGAATGTACCAAGTAGCCAAAAGGCCCATCACAGTGATCCCCAATGTGGAGGCCATGGAAACTATGGCACCCACTTGCTTCATCCTCAAATCATCTTCACCAAAGCAAACAGCCAATGCCGGCTTTCCTCTGCCTCGTGGGAGCAGGAGAGGCTTCAGAAGTGCCCAGGAGGCATCACCTTTGAGCCTGCAGGGAGCACCCATTCAGAAACAGCTGCCTCCCTTGTAGGGAGATACTTGGCTTGCAATCACCCCAACACATGGTGATGGGCTCCAGGACCCGATGGCAACCATTTTGTGATTTGCTCCAGCCCCCACCAGTGTATTTGGCAGTGGCACTCACTTCCTAAGCTAAAAATTCTGACAGGATTTGAGACCGCTGGCCTATCAATACACTTCTGACTTCTCTTCTAACATATGAACCAAGGCCAATTGTCACAACATCCCGTAAACTAACACATTAGAGGGGGGAAACCAGCACAATTCCAAATGCCATCCGAAAGAGGAAAGTGTACGATGTCTTTGGTCCACTGACCTGCTTGCACTGCAGCACTTTGTCCTTCTTGCATCTTCTTCAGGCTCTCCAACAGGGGATTGGTTCCTGTAGCCATGCCCATCGATGGCACAGAAGCAGGCTTAGCTGGCATCAGTGAGGACAGGGTACTGGGTGGGGAGGCAATCTCTGCAGACATACTTGGGGTAGAATCTGTTGGAAAAGAAAACCATGCAGGAAAAGCAGCAGGGCTCCAGAGCCACAAAACCAACTGAATGTCCTGAAGAAATTGTGTGGATTGGTCCATTTCAAGGCTTAAGGAAGAGAAGACCCAGCGTCCCTCTATCTTTTCCATTCACCAGTCTTCCATTTCTTTAGCTATTTTGAGCTGCCCCCTCTCAGTTCTATAATTATAAAAATGCATACATAAGTAACTTGGAGCAAAGGAGTTTCTCTCTTACCAGTTTTGTCCTCCAAGACCTTGTTGAACCACTGCAGGGTTGCCTTTTTTTCTGCATCCAAGTCCTCAGAAGTGACAGCATAGCCTAGCTGAGGTGGAGGAGGCTGCCAAGAGAAATGCAAATTCAGCAGTCATCTTAAGTAGCCACTATATCTCGCCACAGAGCAGACACCAAGAGGGAAAGGTAGCCTCGGTCTGTCACGCCAAGGCGCTCGCCCTCAGGGTTCACTCTCAGATCATGTGAGCCAACAAAAAGAAGACCTGAGTTATTCCACAGCAATTGTTTGAACAAGCAGACACAGAGTAAGGAGCGGGACTTGAATAGAGCACATGCACCATTCCCTCTTGGACACCCCATCACCCGCCTGCTACACAGGGCCACCCGAACTCTGCTCTCAAGCCACTCCTTATCTCAGGAAATGGAAAAGAGTTGCTGAAGAATGGAAGACGCATACACGAGACCATCTTATACTACCCATTTTGTCTAGATTTAGCCCTCTGCAGTCTTCTTGACTTTAGGCCAGAAGTCCTTCATAAATTCCTCTTAGAAGACGTTCAGAGCTCAGTCACTTACGCTGTGGCAAAATTTTGTTGCTTAGCTATTAGGAAACGTAAACTTATTTTAGCTGAAAAAATTGTATGATTCTCTTAACATTATTTTATTTTACTAATTTTATTAACTTTCTCTTGTTAATGTTTTTATACTATTCCCAATGTTATTACTGTAATCGGAAGACACACACATACCAGGGTGAAATTATCTCCGCGTCGAGCAGAGAGCAGCTGGATCTTACGCTTGCGTTTGCCATTGCTGCCTGATGAGGACTGCAAACTTAGAGAGCTGTGTCTGTTCTGCACAGGTGTTTCTGCATCTGGAAAAGGAAGCCAGAGTCAGCAAGCCTGGTTTATGGATGCAACCATGCTTAGCCCAAAGGAGACTTGAGCTTGTGCACCACTAACATCTGGCAGCCTTTGTCTACAAGCCCCAAACACTTCAAAATCATGTCAGGAGACATTATGACAGCTGCAGAAAAATAAGTTTGGAAAAGGCCCGCGGGTAGTTTTGTTTGTTCACCTCATCCTGTGAGCCAGAAGAAGTTTTACACAAAAGATACTTACACCAGGTTCAATTCCACCTCCACAGAAAGGCCTTGCTTATGCTCCTGTCCAATATGCCCCCCTCTCTTTTAGTAGAACCCCTAGGCATTCATACTCACTCTTCTCTGCCTTCTTCTCTGTGTTTGCCTTCACAGGTGTTGACGTGCTGGATTGGTGAGACTCTGCCTCTCTGCAGCGACAAGAGAAAAAAGTTAAGAGAATTCTTCAGGACTCGCTTCTTTCATCAGGCACTGGTCTGAGGTTAGATCTCAGTCACACCTCACCCAGCAGTAGTCCCAAAATATGCTTGTTACAGGAGCCAGCCCTGTCTTTTCGTAGATTATAATGCCCCCCCCCCAAACACTATTACACAGAAAAATGATGCTATCAGAGAACCTAGCACATAAATATTAAGGGGGGGGGGGTTCCCTGCATTCCTCAAAGCATTTCACATATAATCAGCCCCATCTATCACCTTATAACAACCTTGTACCACAGGCCAATATTATTGTCTCTCATGCTGCGGATTTTATTATTTTATGTAGAAAATGTACATGCTACCTTTTCAGAGAACTGCTCAAGGCGGCTTACAGCTAATAAAACTATTAACAGCAAAGCCATTAAAACAGAGGCCAATACCATTGAAACTAACCAGATGAGGGAAAGGGGCTCAAGGACAGTGGTTTACCTAAGGCCATCTGGTGGATTTATGGCTGAGATGAGCTCTGAACCTTCAACCTTCCAGACCACAGCTCATTCCCTTGGCAATTATGCTACACCAGCTCCTAAAAGCTAGCTTGGCTCAATGCTGCTGGTAAATGCAGTGAGGATGCACCAAGAGAAACCAAAGAGATCAATCACGGGAGAGCTAGCTCCTCCAAAAAACCTCTGGCTAAAGAAGCATCCCAATGCCTTGTGTCAGGATGAGGCAGAGAAACAACACTCACATGAGGCTGGTGTCGGGGCACCTTGCTTTCTTGTTAGGTCTTTCAGGAGTCTGCGAACGGGAGGAAGCTGGACTGGAAAGTGGAGAGGTACTTGGGCCGCTTCTCTTCCACAGCTGAGGGAGGGAAGAGCATGACAGAGAAGCAAGAAGAATTAGTCTCCCCCACTCTTCTGCATCACCCTGTAAGTCTGGTTAAATAAGAGTATGCTTCGGTAGCTGAAAATCCTAGAGTTGATCTATCTGGGACTGCCAGGGTCCTTGAAAGGGCCAACCCAGAAGTGCACCAGCCTCTGCCAACTCAGAGTAATGTGCCCTGCCAGGCACCAAGGACAGCATACCTGAGAGAGGCCTCGGGTGGAGCTGTAGGAGCTGGCGATGGCATTGCGGATGGAACTGGGAATTCCACCCACATAAAGGCTGTTCACAGAACTGAGAGAGGATGTGCGTGACCTCTTGGAGGAGCCGTTGTCCAAACTGTGGGAGGCAAGGCTCCGCTTCAGGGAGAGTCAAAGATTACCAGTGTACTACCAATCTTGATTTCTCCCCTCACCCAACCTAACAAAGTGGCATCTCCCCAGGAAGGAAGGTCACACAACAAAGTCTCAGGACTCACTTGGGCACCAGAGATGCTGGGGCTCCGTTGGCCACCAGGGGCTCAAATGCAGACTGTCCGCTCCCACTACTATCATGGCGCCTGCAGAAAAAAAGAGAAAAAAATCTAGATGAAAAACTCGGCATCGTACACCAAGGGGGCAAGTGAATCACTGAGCACAGCCAGACCAATGCCACTCTCCAGTTGCTATGGAATCTCCCAGTTTAGAGTTTACCTCAGACAGAGGAAGCCATCATTTCTCATGGCTAACTACATATTACCAGAGCGGTCTGTGATCAAACTCTCCCGGCACTTTGGGGGTTTCTTTTCCCAAGCTGAAATGCAGTCATAGAAGACTGCAACTTTGATCAGAACAGTAGAAGCTGAAAAGTTCACATTTAACCCTTCCCCAGTCATCCAAATCATACACATCTCAAGCCACTTGATTCACACAAGGAAAAAAAGGTAGTTTATCTATGGAACACCTAATCCTCTTGAGAAATATAGATGTGGGCTCCCCCCTCCAATACCTGAGGGGCTTTACATACTGCCCACGTGTGGCTCCCCCTTCCCCACAACTCCCATGCACTACACCTGGGTAAATAAACACTTGCCGATGAGGATGCCACATCTGGTGAGCCGATATCACCTGCCTCTTACTTCTTGCCGAGAAAGCAGGTGGCATAGAGCTTGCAGTTTTGGCATGCAGCTACAAATGCACCCATTGGGCCAGACAGTTGGGGAAAGTAGGGCCTCCGGAAGGTGCACCCACCAAGACTGCCCAGTTCTGTCCCCAGCAAGGCCACAGCTGGAAAAACACTTCAAATCTTTGTCACAACCTGTGGATTATTTCTTGTTCATGATGGGGGAGAATGGTACAAAGTTTCCTAGGATTAGTATAGGCACTTGGTTGCTAGCAAAAAGAACAGTCCTTTGTCCCATCTATTTATCTGTCTCTTGTGAAGCTCTAGGCCTGAAACCCAGACTAGCTGCTCCCCAGTCAGAAAGGGCAGCCAAGAACTGGGTACAAACCTGACCAACAGAGTTAACCATTCCTGCCTGTTCTCCTACCACTGAAGAGAATCAATGCTGTCAATTTTAATTCCTGAACAAAACCTTCTCCGTAGACATCCAGTCCCAGGGTCTGACCCCCGTCCCCACACCAGCCCCTTACCGTCTCTTGTTGTCCTGGATGCTTTGGTCACCATCTTCCGCATTCCTCTTTCTACTCTCCTTAAGCGCACTCAACACAGTCTCCTTTGCACATGGGTCTAGAGTACTGTTGGGCACTGGAGAGAAAGCCAAAGGAGAAGCCAGCCGTTCCAACCTGAAAGATGAAAACATGGCAGTGACAGAGCATGAAAGCTCTCCCCCATCTCGATGTGGCACCTTGAGACCCAAATCATGCCCATCCCTCATTCCCACCCACTTCAACCAAATCAGGGCCTCTATGCAAAATGCCAGGATACGGGCAGACCGGATCAACTTCAAGGCTGGCTTGTGACCTCACAAAGCGCTGTCAGAGCAACACACTGATGCAAATTAAAAAGTCATTCTAGAGCAGTGATACTTACTCAGTGACTCAGGAAGACACCTGTGGCTCTTCTAGGCACTGTTCCCCAATTTGGCACCCACCCAACATTTCAGGTAAATAAGCAAGGCCATTGCCCTGCAGGACTTGTAGTTAGCAAGTGGCTCCTGCGTTGAAACAACCACTGGAGAATGGGCGAGGTGCAAGTGTCTCTGTGCTGCCAACCTTATGCTAGGGATGGAAGTAAAGTGCCCATCCTCTCCAACACCCCCCCCCCCTCTCTTAGCCTCTACATTCTCATCCCAGCTCCTGGGTGGCAGCTGGGAGGAGAGCATGCCGGCCACATGGAAGAGAGAGTACCACAACCATGGCAGGCGCCTAGGAAAAGAGCAAGCTGTCCACAGTGGGACGGAGGTGGTTTTACTCCCCTTTCTCAGTGATCTATCTGCTCTCCTCCAGCAGCCTCGGCAATCTCACTCTCTCATTGGGAACGCTGGACTTCATACTGAGGAAAGAGCAAGAAGGCAGACAGAGAAGCCCTTCACTCCAGACACACAATACCTGGCTAAGGTTCAACTGTTGTGGGAACAGACAGCCCTACATTCTCAGAGGTACTCTGGTACTTAAATAAAGTTGTATTTATACAGTTCATATAGTTATATTATAGTATGTGTATGAGGGGTGGCAGAGAGAGAGAGAGAATGCTTCATTCTTGAAGAAACCCTTCTTGGATAGCTGTCCTGTACGCTGGCTGCAAGGGCCTTGGTAAGCAAGGGATCTAGAAAAACACTCACAGTGGGAACCGGCCAATGTAGCTGTCTGGCCGAGCAATCTTCACCGTCACTGGGCTCTGGACCAAGGGAGAGTTGTGAGTAGACAACCTGGGTTTCCGCCGATAACCGTCCCAGCAAATGGAAGGCAGGGTGCCCAGGGAGGCATACTGGGCCTTCTTGATTGGGTAGCGCCGGCGCAGCGCAAAGTGAGTTGGTTGAGTTAGGTGATCCCTAGAGAGACAAAAGACACACAGCACATAATCAGGCAAGGGGGAAAGAGATGAGACTACCAACCACCAAATATTCCATACTAAGTTTGCAGACCAGAAGGCTGTAGTGGGCATCTCAAATGGAGCAGTATAATCACCATCCTAACTGGGCTTTTTTTTAACAACAACTTTCTCTGTTTGCCAGATTTATATGAACACAACAGATAACCAATACAACACTGTGTTTACAATGTTGGACTGGGACTGAAAAGATGCAGGTTCAAATCTTCACTTGCTCATGAAACTCAACAGGTAAACTTTGGGCCAGACACTAACTCAGCTTAACCAACTCACAATAAGGTTGTGAGGATAAAATAGAGAAGGGTAAGCCATTTATGTCACACTGAGCTCCCTGGAGTAAGGATATGATAAAAATATCAAGCACAACAAGGTATTCAAAAGATGAAGGCTTTCTAAAGTCTTTCCAGCTCCTCAGAGGTCACAAGCCATTACAGACATTCCTCAGGAAAGCAGAAGGTATCCGCCACCTGCACAGATTTCACACACACATTTATCAGCCATCAACCAAGGCTACAAATGAATAATAGAATATAAAATGAGATAAAATCCACCACAAAAAAAACTATCAATGACTTGCGTGGTTGGCTCAACTCAAGCAACAGACCAAGCACAAATGGAAAATATAATTAAAATATTGACAAGACATGGGTATCCTCAAACAAGGCAAACAGTCAACAAACTGATGTCAAAGGCATCCTCACAACCCAGGGAGGCCTGATAAAAAAGAAAAAAAATTCCCATCTCACCTAAAACTCAACAGGCAACTTGACATGGGGACAGCACAGTGCTTACCCATCTCACCTCAGGACACCCTCACAGTTTGCAAGGCAAACTTTCAACAACGTTTTTAGAGTCTTGATAGAACACTTAGTGTACTGTGGTCATGACACAACTGAAACACCACTGCAGTTTAGTGGCTAGAGCTGGGTGTGCATGCAAGGAGCCCTGGACAACTACAACAGTCAATGGATGGTCCTAGATAAGTCATCGAATCCCATCTAAATTATATGCTTCCTTGCCTCCTCACCCACCTCCAAAGCAGCTAGAAATGCCCCCTGAAATGCTGTGCTTGGGGAATGGAAGAACCCCAGCACAACACAATAAAAGAGTCGGAGGGCTGCTGTAGGAGGGGCTGTGCAGACCTTTTCAATAGGATCCAATCCACAATCTCTCACCCCAATGAACCTCAGAGAATTATTGTGATGCTCACATACACTAAGTTCTGTGTAAGTTTTCTGAGTTTCTGGAAGAAAGGTCCAGGAACAACAGTGCAAGTGTAAACATTTTGCAGTCAACAAGGAATAGAAGATGTCCAAGGGGCCAAGGTTTACCAATTACCATTCTTCTTTATCTGCCCCTATCAGCTCATGGCAGCAGAGTGTTTGTTCCATCACTGAAGCCTTGGTTGGTTTTGCTTTAAATTTATTTGGTGGATAAGCTGCTCCTGTCCACCACCAGCAAAGATCCTTCCCCAGCTAGCTTACAGAAGAGCTGCAACTGGACAGCACTCACTTCTTCCCACTTAAGCCAGACATATCAGCATCAAGGATTCCTCAAGGCATCAGGGATATTTTTCATAAAGCAATTTCCTGCCATACTTAGGACCAAAGGAGAACAGAACCCTCTATGGGTCATTTCCTGGACTTCCCATCTCTATAACAACCTTAACAGGCAGAAAACCCTGTTACCATGATATCCAAGCAAGCAGTGGAAATGGGGTCACTGATAATGCAATTCCTCACTTCAGAAAACTGGGTCTCCACAGCAGTACAAGAAAGCCTGCAGCAGAACTAAAGTGACAGATAGGGATTAATGGTACCCAAGCACCCTTGGAAATAATGGTCATTGGGGGCAGGGATAGAACGGCAGAACAAAGAAGGCAGCAGAAGTAACTAAGGCTACCTCCATTTCATCCTCACAACCACCCTGTGAAAGAGGTCAGGCTGAGAAATTAAAACTACAGAGTAAATTTCCTGGGAAGCATGGATTTTGAACAGTTCCCACATGCTAACCACCACATGGACTCTCTTACTATCTCCGTCCACATTGTACAGAGCTACAAGGAAGGGAAGACACCTGAGCATATGAAGAGTGTTTTTTCTTCCCCAGGTAGTGCCCCGTTCTCGTGTAGG